GCTCTTTCTATTGATATATCTAAAAAGAAGATTCAACCATTCATTACCGAGGTACAGAGTTTACCTGTTGACCATGTCAGCTTTACCTTAAAACCGGTCTGCTGTCCCAGAGAAAGCGTTTTTTCAAAAACCTGTTTTAGTAAAATGTTCGTTACCTTCTCCGCTTTCTGCTGCTTTCTGCTGGTATAGTTTTCATAGCTTTAAACTTTCTCGAAGGGTCAAAAAATCAATTACATTAGTCGTACGGAAAGTTTTTGCAGCTCTTCGGTAGCCAAACAGAAGATACTCGAACATTGATGTCAACATACAGACAAGAATAACCAATATTTTAAATTTTTTTTTCCACAAAAAAAAGCTTTCATAATGTCATTATAAATTTGTTCCATAATTACTGTTTTCTGTGGAAATTTTTCGCTTAAAAGCTTAACATACTTTTCAAAATCGTTATAAAAGGCTTTTTCAACAGAATCGCTACGGAGGTGCAACCGGTATCGGTATACCGGCATTAGTATGAAGTATAATCAGTCGCTCGATATTGCTGGTATTTTGGCGGTGTGATACGATTTTTTTCGAAAAACATCGTGTAAATTCATTTCATCTGTGACATACCTCTTCCACTAAAATTTCATTCCAATTACTTACACTTTGTTGACTTATATAAACTTCTTAATTTAAAAGAATAGATTGGATTGCTGTTTCGTACAAAAAAAGCATGTGAGAAACCACTTATACATAATCAAAGTGAAAGATCAATCTATCCCCTTGATGACATAAAATGCAGTCGACAGTAAAGAAAAACAAGGAAAAAGTATTTGTATTTAGGCACAATATGATAAAGACAAGCCGGTACCAACCGGTGAATCGGGCATTGGTATACCGGCCGGTACCGGTAAGAAGTCTGTATACCGGTGACGTTATTGCATTTTTGATACCAGCTACACCCTAAATCGATAGAAGCAGGAAGACTAGAGATAGTACTAGAACTTGAAGCCGAAGCAGCCATTTATAATAGGAAGGACTGCCAAAGATGATTAAGTATCGAAGAGAAACGAAGACTAAGGTACAGCAGACGATGGTATGCACGTCCTGTATATATCAGTGAATTGCAACGGCATTGTGCCGTTATTGTTCTACGGTGTTTTGCATATAAAGTCCGTTCTACTCAATAAATTTTCAAATTTTTTTAATATGTTTACTCCTCTGTATTTGTATATTCACTTGTGAACAAATCAGCTCTCTATTCCTTAAGGAAACGCTGATAGTCATTTAAAACTGATGTTTGCAGCTGGTTCGACAGAAAAACATCGGCTTTTCCCAATCAAATTAAATAAAAGCGCGAGACGTTTTGACTTAATTCGTAGCAGAATTCTTGGGCTATTTAAGTATGTACTTGGCATTGAAATTAAACAACGTTATGTCGACAAAATACTATAATAACAGATACTTCGGTTTTTCTGTGCACCGACATAAACGTTGATTTATCTCAGTAACTGTTTATGCTAAAAAGGTCGGTCTAGAGTCAAAAGATCGATCACTCTAAGCATGACAATTTGGTAAAAAGAAATTTTCTCTAGTTTTATCGGTTAGTGTAAGGAACAATCTTTTGGAGTAAAATTTGGTTTTCACCTAATTTGTGACTGACATTTTCGCTTTTGTTTCCTTCATAATTACTGCGTCCGTTTGCTCTCAAACTTTTATCCATTTTCAACATCCTGAAGTTACACCATGGCACAAAAAAGTAAGCCCAAAACTTATTACCGTTCTAAGTTGCATCTAAGTATACTATCTAGAACCATTGTCAAAAATTTGATGATATTTGATTTGGTACAGAAAACTTTTCAGCGAAAGTTGATGAAATGGGCGGGTCCGCATAGTGTTGATAATCGGTCCACTCCCTTTTTCGACTAATAATGATTTCATTTAGAGAAAAAACCACCAGTATTCGATTCCAGCCAAAACGAATACATTTGTTCACTAAAATCCCGTCAATTTCTCTCCAATACCATCTCAATCGACACTCTCAAAAATGAGGCCTACATGAAGAATAAACGCTGCTATTCTCAGCTTCCTTAGACTCAAAAAGACTAACTAAATGTACTAATAGATAGCCCTTAAAATTCTCTACAACCTGAGCTAGTCAGAATATCTTAACTGGTGGGTCCAATCATCAAAAACATGCAAAAGGAACGTTGGACTACGGAAAACACGTACAGAACACTTCTTTAGTCATTTTTTCTCTCATAATAAAAAATTATATAGTTTCCAAAAACAGATCATTCGTTAGTCCTTGAAATTCTTTACAAACTGAGTTAGTTAGAATATCAAGACAAGTGCTTCCAGTCAACAAAGATATGCAAAAGAAGCGTTTGGGTGTTATATAAACTGATGAAGTAATAATAAAATCGACCCCGATTTTCAGGATTCTTGGGAATTCGATTTTCTGTAAAATAGAAAATCCTCGGTGATTTCATATATGGACTTTCAGAAAATCAACGGCGATTTTCTATAATTAATTTTCAAGATTACAGTGAACGCTTTTTTCTTGTTTTCGGCAAAGTTTTTACCAATCCGGCTTTTAGCCGTTAATACCGACTATTATATTCGACTAAAAGAAGACACGCGACAGGGAGTGATATTGAATTTTTCTGTCTGTTTTGTATTTTATTCTATTCTCGCCGCAGACGATCTTCTCTTCTCCCTTATACATTATATAAATATACGATGTGAAGTTCACGAAGTATAGCTCAATTCGCAATACTCGTTGCAAAACTCTGTATTTTCTTTACTTTTAAAACCTAAAATTCAGTCTACAATGAAAATGTCCAAGTGTGTCGTCGCTTTATCCATCTTCGTCTTTCTCAGCGTTGCTTTTCCAGCCACAGCGATATCTACTGATCAAAACGGTGGAGTTGGCAAAACAAAGGCCCTAAAACGCGTTAAAACAGTCTTCTGAACACCTTAGAACATTTCATTAAAAACATACACGCGTTTTCAAACGTTCTAGATCACGTTTCAGATGAAACATTTAACGCGTTTTTAATCGTTAAAAACAGAATAAAAACGCGTTTTCGGATCGAGTCTGCAACTCCTGAATTATTCCAGAAAGTCCAGATGAGACTTGAACTAAAAATAGTTGAAAGTCTATAATAAAGGAAGTACAAAACTCATGATCTGAAACTGAAAAAGAGCGAAAAGAAGATGATATGTCTTCGATATTTGGATTGTGCTTATATACTCGGCTGACCGCAAAACAAGGCGGTGCATGAGTTTGGTAATGCGTTTTTTTACCATTTCTAACGATGTTTTTGTGCCTGGGTCTGAAGTTCGTTCACAGTTTCCTGTGTTCAGCCCTGTGAAATTATATAGGATCTTATATATAAGATCACACAAGGTCTTATTTTAGGATCTGATAGGATCTTACAAGACCCAATATGCTCCTGTTATAGGATTCTTTGACCTCGGTCGGCATCATCGGAAAAAAAAATAAGGTTGTTTTGAGTTGCAGAAAAGTGCTTTTTCGTATCCAACACACTCGATAATCCAGAAGATATCCTATTTTTGGCGAGGGCTACTTCCAAAAGTCTAGGAAAAATTTTGAAACAAAATGGCGCAAAATAATTTCCATGGTAAAATAATAATAGTTTCAAAATTTTTTCTAAACGTTTGAAAGTAGCCCTTGCCAGAAATAGGACATCTTCTAGATTATCGAGTGTTCTAGATACGAAAAAGCACTTTTCCGCAATTCAAATCCAAGTTTATTTTTTTTGTTCCAGTGATATGCTATCTGAAACTTACCATGATATATCAGTTTGTCAGCCAACGACACGATCAGTCCCATCATACATAGTTCGTTGAGTTTTGTATAAGGAAATGGAAATAGGACTCGCGAAACAATGTTCGGTTCAAGAGGACTTAATGCATCTAGCGCCACTTTCGTCATTCTCAACTATTTTTGATGACATTTGCCGATGCCGCTTTTGAACTAACTCAGAACAAAAGTCGGTATAAATCTAGTCATTCAATGGCTTACAATTCAGGGATGTTTTTATATAATTTAATCTTAAACTAGCGATATTTATCAAATAATGACATTTCACTCTTATTTCTCGAAGTCTTCCACTAGACTCTAGATGACAATATTTTACTAAATACTAATACTGTGATAATTGAGAAAAATCTCTTAGAACATGTTTTATTTTTCCAATATGTTTCCCAATTTAAGTAGAATAATTTTAAAGGTTCATCTTATTGCGGGAATGGTCAGTTTTGATCCATTGCAAAATACATATCACACGACTGGAGATCGACGGAAACGAAGTGTATACAGGAGAGGAAGAAGGAGAAAAAGAAGAAGAAGAGGACGGGGTCGTGAGGTCACCAAGCGGTGATCATATATATTTGATGTAGAGGAGTACTAACATTCATTTTTTCTGTTACTCTCTCTCGTTCTCTCCTCCTCTCTACTGCATACAATCTCACAGGCACATTTCATTTTCAATTTTTTTTAACGCACAAGTAACACACGTATATAGACGCAAGGAATAAAACTATAATTTATTATCAAAGTTTTGAACAATATGGCTACCAAAACTCCACGATATTTCTTATATCGATCGTTTGTTGATGCTTACATGAAAGGACATCCAGAAATGACTCGTTGTGTAAGTATTTAAAACTATATTTTCGTTGTGAAATGAAAAAGAACTTCTGAAAAACTTCTAGTAAAAAATTATTGCTATCACAAATGAATAATATTTATTAATAATTCTGCATACAGTGAGAAAATAGACGAGAAAAATGTAATAATTGTAAGAGAAAAATACAAAATATATAAAAAGTAAGAATATTATCTCTCTACTGCCACAAAATTATAACAAAAACAAATCTTTTGATGCGACATTTAAAAATTTCGACATAAGTAACCTGGAGCATTTCTGGGGAATTTCTCTCACGCATGAGACAGTTACTACTACTACATGAGAATAGAGCTTAGTTATACAATGGTCAGGAGTTCGTCTACCGTTTTTTAACGTGCTATTATATTTTCTATTCTTAATATATAGATATCGTACCATAGTGCACAAACAGAATGGAATGCCATTAAAAAAGATGATGATGTTGTTCAAGAAAAAATTGAAGAATATTTAGAAATATATAATCGTTCGGGTGCAGCTGGTCTTGCTCTCGAAGAAGCGGCACCAAAACGAAAAAAAACAACAAAAACCACAACAAAATCGAAAAAGAAACGAAAACATTCGTCATCCTCTGATAATGATGATGAAGCCGTTACAGCAAAAGAAATAGTAACAACAACATGACTTGTATAAAAAATTGTATATTCAAATTGGATTCTGTTTTGTTTTTTTATCTCTACACGTTTCGTCTTTTAAACCATACTTAAACTACTTTTAATTCATGATTTATTCAACTTGCTCCGTTCAATACAAGTGTTTTAGAAGTCCTTGTGGTTTTTATCAATACTGTTTATTCTTGTTTAGATGACAGTTGTAAATAATGTTGTGTTTAGAAATTTTAACACAAATTTTTATGTAAACTTGTTTTGTTTAGTAATTTCTAGTAGAAAAGTATGAATAAAGTGATTAAATATAATCATTCGTACACATCTGTTATTAACATGTACATTTTAGCGAACGCAATTGATGAAAATAAGAATAATATAATATTTTTAATTCATTCTCACTAGGAAGAAGTAATCACGATCTTTTTGTCATTAACATACTCACATTTTAGTAATTCATACTCAACATGACATGTAGGAAAAAGAAGACTTGTGTCCTCTCCACCACAGTGTACATTTTTCTAATAGCAGGCGGACATCAGAAGTTCTTGGTTCTAAACCGTTTTTTTCCATAATTTATCCTTCTTTTTAGTCATCCGCGATGCTTTTAAAGAAAAAAATAAGCGTTTTCATAAAAAATCAGTTTTTTGGAAAATCATTTTTGTAGGTTCATGAGAAAATTTCTACAGATATTTTTTCGATCCAAAACTTATCAAGTTATACATAGTTCGATCCAGTTTGACGAGCTGATTCTGAGTATGCCGTTAGTTTTTGTCACAGACATTTCTAGGCTGAAAAAAATAGATTTTACATGAAAAACCAAGGATTGTTGGAAAACTTATATCTCGGCACAGGAACACATACTAAGAAATTTGTTCAAAAATCGCTCTCCTCAGATAAAGTTAATTTTTGGTCAACTTATTGGAATAGTTTAATTTGAAAAACTATCTGAAAGAATTATTAACCTATGAGCTCCATTTTAATGAAAAGATCGTTTAGATTGAACTCAAATTGCTACAGAAAAAAATATCTACTAGGCTAAAATCGAGTATCAAAAATGCATCATTCTGTATTTGGTAAACGCTACAAACAGCTAAAGTCCAATCGAGCTCAACCTTTCGCCAAATATTCTTCTATATATGTTCTACCATGGACCATAGCGCCAATTCTGGAGTGCTGGAGGTTTTCCAAAAAACCATGGTTTTTGGAGTTCCAGGACTGGCACCCGGTGACTATTGATAGCCTTGAAAACGGATGGACTATAGGTAATCGATCATGCTGAGTCTCGTGGCAATATTTGTTTTTAAGAAAGTTCTAAAAATCTACCGAAAAGCGAGTTTTACGAAAATTGGAGTTTTCAGGCTGTTTTCACCTAATATTAAAAACTTCACTATTCATTCAATAAACATCAGAACGAGTTCAAAATTTCAGGATATGGTTGATTTCGTCCGCTAAACGTAATTTTATGATCGAAAAATCAGAAAAAGCATATTTTTATTATTGGGTTTTTCAGAAAACCTTTTGGAAAACCGTAGGGTTTTATAAAATTTCTTTTGAGATCTCCTATAAACAGGATATAGAATAGCTTAAATACTCTACATTCTGAAATTTTGAACTCGTTCTGATGTTTATTGAGTGAATGGTGAACTTTTTGATATTAGGTGAAAACAGCCTGAAAATACAAATTTTGGTAAAAATCGCTTTTCGGTAGATTTTTAGAACTTTCTTAAAAACAAATATTGCCAGGAGACTCAGCATGGTCGATTATCCATATTCCATCCGTCTTCAAGGCTACCAATAGTCACTGGATGCCAGTCCCGAGACTCGTAGAAAATTCGATACAACGCACGGAAAATCAAGGTCTCACTTGACTCCCATTTTGAAGAGAACATCACGGGCTATCAGTCCATGGAAAAAAAGCAATACAATCCTACTGGAAAATTTTTACAGACGGCCTAGTTGTCCAAAGATCTCCTAGAAAATCTGTTTCAGAAAACTCTTCCGAAAACAGTGTTGATTATGAAAACATGTTTTCAAGTCTTCTCTTTTGGATGGCGAAGATCGGAGCTCTCTAGCTCTTTTCTATCAAAAGTTATTATTGAATTAATAGCACATGTCCGCCTGCTCTAGCCAAAATTGCCCACTGTGTGGCCGGAACATATTTTACGAAATATATCTGTAGGAAAGCTCAGGTTTTTTTAGAAAACTCTGTGATTTTTCCTCTAAAACCAAAATTCTTCCACTATAACACATGTCGACGAGCCTAGATTCAGAATCAGTGTCATTTTCTAATATCTTTGTCCTTCTTCCTATATAGAGATATGCATTAGAAGAAACAGCTACACTGTAAAAAAGTAATTGCAATATAAAGTGGAAAAAAGCGGAATATAGTGCGAAATTGAGTTCAATATAAAAAGAATTCTGTCGACAAACAAACTAAAACTTAAAATTAAAAGCAATGAGTGAGACCTCTTGTTTGGATTTTTGTTTTTAACTTCTCTTTTTTGTTAAAACGTGCGGTACATAATATATGTTTAGTAGAAACTGGATGGTGACAAAAAAGTATTTTTCTCCCCTGTATACATAATTTAGTCAGACATGTGGACAGAAACTGGACTACTATAAAGAGACTCGTTATTAGTTATTTTTAAAAAACATCTCTTTTTCTCTTTACTTCATCAAATGATTCATCAGTTAGTCACGCTATGAAAACAAGTCTCAGCATCATCACCTACCTTTTGCTTCTTGAACGTTTCTTCTTTCCGTGGTTTGCCTATATGACAAGTCATTAATCAGGCAATGTGCTTAAAACTGTCTGTCTTATCGCATAAAAAAACCGTAAAAGTGAACGTTATTCTTTAAGTTAAGCAGTGTCGACTTATAGTATTCAATCATTTCATTCCTCAAGGTATCAGTCTCATTGAATTTCGCCGAAACGTCGAAAACAATCGGAATCTGTGTTCTAGTGCCTATAATAATAAATAAAGTTAATAGAGTGTACAATAATTTCCTAAAGCGAAACGCTGTTCAGAGCTCAGGCCGATATCAGGTCCAAGGTTCCTGAAAAACCAGCTGAAGAAAATTCCATTTTTTTCGATTTTTGACGTTACCATTGGATTTAGCATATTAAACTATCTATGTCCACTGACTTTCAGGTCTCCCTGTTACTCTTACGAAGTTCAGCGGAAAAGTTAAGGTAGGGCCGAAACCTGGACACCATTGGAATGGGTAGGCGGTTTATGTATTTTCGCATTTAAAAAGTGAGCCTCAGAAATTAAGCGTTGCCAAAGTCTTATCCCATATAAAAGTGGACCCTGAATCACTTTGTCAGCGATATTTTTGCGTCAAAATGCTTTCCAGAATAGAAACTGCAGGCCAGAACTCGAAAAAGCACACTTTTGGCCCCCAAAACCCATTCTCAAGGTCAAATCCGATTTTCTCACCTCACTTTCCCACCACAAGTAAAAACTTACACGATCCCCTTTCTTCAATGCAGAAAACACTATTAAATCGAGGTCCCAAATATGTTTTAGCCAATTTCCGGATGATGACGTCTGCCATCGGAAATTGAACATATGAAGAGGAAAATACTAAAAATGTATTATGACCAACCTCACCGCCAACCCTCTTGTATTCCAAAAATTCAAAAACTTGCTGATCTTGTCAAAATCGAAATAGAGCATCGAATAGGACAGACCAGATCGCATAACCAAGCTCATGTTCAGCACGCGATACATCAACTAATTAAACAACAAAAACAGAAAAATGTTGTTTTTCGACCCACAGATAAGCCAGAGATCCTTCATCTGGACCTCCCAGAAAAATATGCACGGGAATCCGTGAACTATATGATAAAAACTGATGCATATGCGAAAGTTTTTGAAAATCCCTTACGTCTAACGAACGCTTGCTTTGCTCATTCTTCATCTTTCCTTTTCTATACCTCAGTAATGTTTCCACGTACAAGTGCTAGACATATTTGAGAGACGATTCATTTCTTTCCTTTTTTTCCCATCCTATGATAACTTCATTTCCTTTCTGTTGCTCGCATTGCACTACCGAATCATCAAATCATTCCATATCATTTTTCTTACTCATACGCACTAACAGTTATGCATCTTCCTGGCGCATTCTTCTCTTATCTATTCACTTTATTAACCGATATGAATCGCATTCCCGTTCATTTTCTTTCTGTGTCGAATTAATGAAGTATGGAAAACGTTTTTGTACAGAGAATAACCCATCCATCTTTAATCTTTTTAATCCTTTTGTTATTTTCTTCTTTTGTAACCTCTTACTTTTTTGTTTATTTCGGTGTGAGAATAAAATAAAATAAATTAATTTAATTTAATTATCATTCTGATATAACCAAAACAGAATTTCAGTCTTTTACGCGTGCTACAACGTCATCGAATAATGTACACTGTAATCCTGAATTATTTTCGAATTTATAGAAAATCCTCATCGATTTTCCAACTTTATAAAAAATGTTGATTTTCAAGATTCTTGAAAATCGAGTCGATTTTCTAGAAATAATTTCCAGGATTCTTCTTCAATCATCGTTTTGTTTTACATTCTTGGGTAAATAAGTGCGAATATTTTCACACTTCGAATAACTTCAAATTTTTTTTCTTCTGGACCACAGTCCGTCGAAAGAATTATTTATAGAAAACCACCGTTGATTTTCAGAAAGTCCATATAGAAAATTGCCGAGGATTTTCGATTTTATAGAAAATCGACATTGATTTTCAAGATTGCTGGGAATTATTTATAGAAAATCAATGTCGATTTTTAAGAATCTGGAAAATCAAGGAGCATTTTATAAAAAATCAATGTCAGTTTTCTATAAAATAGAAAATCCTCGGCGATTTCATATATGGACTTTCTGGAAATCAACGGCGGTTTTCTATAAATAATTGTCAAGATTACAGTGTAGAAAGGTATGTCGAATGGTAGTGATCCATCGAAACAAAATCTTATAGAGGCTCCGGATTATTAGTCACACACTTCTCCTATTACGTCACCCGAGTCAGCTATTATTATGTCTGATAATGATATCTCCAAACAGCAATCGCTTGAATTTAAAGAAGTTATATAGCAACTTGAATTACTGACGATTTCTATCAAAAGATCTACGTCAGATGCTAAACCAACTGACGACAACGTTCTTGATACCCCATCATCCGATGTATTACCGGATTGCAAACGTACGCGCATAAATGTTGAAACTCCATTAGGACTTCAACCACCTGTCGTTAACGAACCTCCATTAGGAGTTCGGACATCAGTCGTTGTCTCGCTTTAAGACTCGGTAAGACTTCAAGATACACGATATACGTGGCTCCTCAATCGAAGTCGACGATTACTCTTACTATTCCTGCTTTCGATAATAACCATTTGAATAGGATGCGATGGACGATATACTATCAACTACTATCCCCAAAGTATCAACACAATGGGTGCTACCATCGGAGGTTAGTAAGTCGGTTAAGAAATCGAAGATAGACCTTAAAAAACTAGAAATAGCCCAAAAAGTGTCCAAGAAATCGAACGATTCAAGAAGTTTATCCCTGCTAATTATGAAAAAACAGTTAAGGAACTGGTAGAATGGAAATTTGAAATAGAAGAAGTCCGATGCGACTCGAAAATTCTAGAAAACCAGCAACGGCTAGCAAAAAAAGATCGAAAAAATTAAAATTTTTTTATCTAGAAAACTATAAGTCCAAACTCTTTTCATATATATTTTGAAGTGTCCTCTACAATCTGGGAAAGTTTGAACCCAATCTAAATAGGAGGATCCTCACCCTTAACTAACCGTTTTTATACTATGAATTTACGGCTGAAAAATGACCACTTTTGCTGCTTCTTAGAAGATCGACTGCACGTTGTACTTTTTATCTAGTACATTTAAATATCTTTTGGCTTTTTCATTTCAGAATTCAGACCGTTCCAGGGCTGGGCGAATCAAGCCACTTTTGAGTCGAGTCGAGTCTGAGTCATTTTTTAGCGGTTTCGCATCGAGTCAGGTTATTTTTACCAGTTTTTCGTTTTCTGTTTACAACAATTTTTTCATGACACGATATCTAGTTCCTAGTTTTTATGCACAACAAATGGTTCTGATGCAGTATATTCAATTAGGACGAAAGGGTTAGTTCCCGTTTCGTCGAAAGCTTAATTAATATTCCTGTTTCGTCGAAAATATTTTTTTCTAGTGTTTCTGTTTTGTCGAAAATAAAGCTTCAGCTGTTTCTGTTTCGTCAAAAGATAAAACTAGAACTAAAATATAGATTATTCTAATTAATAAAACCTTTTTTTTAATAGACTAATTAAAAAGAATGCTGAATTATTCTAAATGAAGTATATATACATGTAGTTAGAAACGGAAATTAATCACTATCTATTCTATTTGTATTAAACTTTAACATAATGATTTCTCTGATATATCTTGCACTGTAGTTCATGTTAGCTATTGTTGAAAGTAAGCGTAAGAAACCAATTTTATTTTACTTGACTTTTCGTTACATCCAAGACAAAATTGTGAATACTATTGTTTATTGGAAATGTGAAGACCGTTTGTGTCCTGGGCATGCTATACAATATGGATCGGATCCACTAAGTATGAAGAAACCGCACAATCAAGAAAACATGTATACTTGCATTCATGCCACCGCAAGAAGTTGGGAAAATATGGACATTGATTATGGATCAATTTCAAGATATTGAGCATATTGAGGTATTTTACAATTATGTAACAAGTACGTGGGTAATGATGTAATTATACAATTATGTAACAAGTAATGATGTGTTATTCAATTTATCACTGTGGAATTATTTTGATTTTAAAAGTTCAAGAACAAATAATAGTTTAGAAGGTTGGCATCATCGTTTAAATATTGATTTAAATCATATTATACATCCACATTTTTATATGTTTATTCGTGCTATTCAAAACGATTATGCATATAATTCAGCCATATCATCACGTCATACAGCCACTGATACAATACCACCAAGAAAAAAGTTATTTGTGAATCGAAATGCACGATTACACGATTTAGAAAATCGTTATAAATAACAAACATTAATACTGCAAGGATACCTTCAAAAAGTGATGCGATTAATTGGTATCAAAAAGTTTTGATTTTCATTTATTTTTCGTTTGTGTTGTTTCTTTCTCTAATAATGTAAGCATGTACTTTTTCAATAGAATCATTTGGAATAATTAAACATTCTTTTTAATTAGTCTGTTTAAAAAACACTAGAAAGAAAGCTCTAAACATTTTTTCGACGAAACAGGAATATTAATTAAGCTTTCGACGAAACGAGAATTCACCGGACGAAAGTTATGAATAAGTGAAAATTCAATCTTATAAATTATATATCCGAGTCATGACTCGGACTCCCCCAGCCCTGGATCGTTTTATAATCATCCCAAACTTGATTATAAATAGGCAACCATTCTCTTTTTAGCCCTAATTTTGTTCTCTAAGAAGTCCTTCTCCAACAAAGAATGCACACAGCCATCGTTTATAGTCGTTCTTTATATCTTCACAAGGTGGAGCTTATCCATAAAACAACAGAGTTTTCTATTTTCTTCTGTTGTATATTTGAACTATGTTTTCCTGACAATTGTTCATTAATCTTTTTATAAACATCCGTCGAATTAGAATATAATTTTTCTCATTATTATGCTAGAGATATCAGATAGTTTCATATACTTACTAATTGCAATTCACTGTGATATAAAATACATCACTAATATCTCCACTACATGTTGTATTCAAACGATCACTCACTAATCACTAATGATGTGCGACAAAAATCAACTTTTTCACCGACCATATCAGGTCGCTCGGATTCAGTTAAGGGTACCCCCCCGCTCTTTTTTCACCTTGTTGCCAAATGCGGAGTACATGTCCGATTGAGCTCAAATTTATAGCAGAGATAGAACATCGAAAAAGAAAATCGATGTATTTTTGCCCAGAATTTTCTGACG